GAAGCATTGAAATAATGCTTTTTAGAATCAAGAAGAAAGGAATTAATTATTCCTTGACTATTTGGTAGAATTTTTCATGAATCCATTTGGTCCTGAGCTTTCCTTTGTGGTGAGGTTTAGTTACTGATTCACTCTCCTTATTTGTTATTGGTCTGTTCAGGATTTTAATTTCCCCTTGATTCAGTTTTGGTAAGTTGTATGTGTCTAGGAATTTATCCATTTTTTCTAGATTGTCCAATTTGTGTATTATTGTTTATTATACAATATTGTATATTATTGTAATATTGTATATTATTATTAGTGATACTTTTTATTTCTGAGATATCTATTATAATGTCTCCTCTTTCATTTTTGATTTTATTTGTCTTCTCTCTTTTTTCTTAGTCTAGGCAAGAGATTGCTGATTTTATTTTTCTATTCTCTATTTCAACTATTTTTGTTACAATAATCTTTATTATTTCCTTCCTTATGCTAACATTGGGCTTAGTTATTCTAGCTCCTTGAAGTGTAAAGTTAGGTTGTTTGAGATATGTCTTCTTTTTTAATGTAGGAACTTATGCTACAAAGCTCCCTCAGTATTAGTTTTGCTGCATCCCATCATTTTTGGTAAGTTGAGTTTTCATTTTCATTTGTCTCAAGATATTTTTTAAATTCCTTTTTGATTTCATTTCTGACCCAGTGGTTATTCAAGAATGTATTGTTTAGTTTCCCTGGACAATAGTTCCCCCTTATCTGAGGGGGATATGTTTTAAGACCCCCAGTGGATGCTTTAAGCCACAGATAGTACCAAACTCTATATAAACTATGTTTTTTTCCCTATACATACATAGCTCTGATAAAATTTAATTTATAAATTAAGCATAGTAAAAGACGAACATCGATGACTAATAATAAAGTAGAATAATTATGACAATATATTGTAATAAAAGTTATCACATACTGTGGCTGTAACTTTTGCAGTTTGAGGTGCAACAGCAAAACTAGTATGAATTTCTTTTCCTTTCACAATTTTATGGATAGAAGATTCATTTTTCTGTAGATATTAGCAATCTGAGCATGAAGTTTCTTTTGTTTCTTATTAAGTCAAGAACTTTTTACCTTTGCACTTAAAGGATGCACTTTATGGCTTCTTTTTGGCATATCCAAATTGCCAGCATCACTACTCTTGCATTTTGGGATGATTATCAAGTAAAACAAAGGTGACTTGAACACAAGGAGTGCAATACCATGACAGTCAGTATGATAACTGTGATGGCTACTAAGTGACTAATGGGCATGTAGAGTAAGTACACAGCATGAAGGGATGATTCATATTCCAGGCAGGATGAGGTGGGACAGCACAAGATTTCATCACACTGCTTAAATTTCTCAATCAGTCATTTCTGAAAATTTCCATTTAATATTTTCCAACTGTGGGTACCTGATACTATGAACGGCAAATTCTGTATTTGTAATTGTTTTCATTTTTTTACTGTTATTGATTGCTAGTGTTAGTCCATTGTGTTTGGAAAAGATACTTGGAATGATTTTAATCTTATTAAAATTTTCAATACTTTTTAAACAACTAATATGTTATATATCCTGAAGAATATTCCATCACTCTTGAGAAGAATGTGTATTTTTCTGATGTTGGGGACAAAGTTCTGGATATATTATGTATCTGTTAGGTTCATTTGATCTATAGCATTGCTCAGTTCTTCTGTTTCCTTATTGATTTTCTGTGTAGATGATACATCCATTATAGGGTATAGGGTATGGAAGCCCCCACCTGTTATTGTATTACTGTCTATTTCTCCCTTCAGACCTATCAATGTCCGCTTTATAGCCTTGGGTGTTTTTGTGTTGGGTGTATATGTTGTTGGATCTTCCTGTTAAATTATCCCTTTTAGCATTTTATAATGACCTTCTTTGTCTCTTGTGACAGTTTTTTACTTAAAGTCTATTTTTTCTGACATAAATATAGCTACTCCTGCTCTCTTTTCTCTACTATTTGGATGGAATATCCTTCTTCATCACTTTATTTTCAGCTTATATGTGTCCTTAAATCTAAAGTGAGTCGTTTGTAGACAGCATATAGTTGAGTATTGTTTTCTTACTCATTCATTAACTCTGTATCTCTTAACTGGAAATTTTAGTCCATTTAAATTTCAAATAATTATAGATAGTTAAGGACTTGCACCTGCCATTTTGTTAACTGTTTCTGTCTTTATTATAGTTCTCGTGTTCGTCATTTCCTCTCTTGTTGTCTTCCTTTGTGGTTTGATGGTTTTAGTGGTGTGCTTTGATTCTTTTTTCTTTATCTTTTTTGTATCTACTGTACATTTTGTGTGTGGGGGGGGTTACCATAGAATTCACATAGGATATTTTGTAGTTATAGCAGTCTATTTGAAGCTGATAACAACTGAACTTCAATCACATGCAGATACTCTACACTTTTATTTCCCCATATACACTTTATATAACTGATGTCATATTTTACTTTTTCTATATTGTGTTTACATTAGCAAAGTCCTGTGGCTATATTTATTCTGACTATTTTTGTCTTATAATTTATATATTAGTGTTTAAAGTGATTTGTGTGCACCATTACAGTATTACAATATTCTGTGTTTAGCTTTAGCAATCAGATTTATGCTTTCATATGCTTTCATTATGTTTTTTAATGTCTTTTCATTTCAACTCGAAAGACTTACTTTAACACTTCTCATAAATCAGGTCTAGTGTGAAAGACTTCCTAGTTTTTGCCTGGTAAAGACTTTTATCTCTCCGTCTTTGAACTATAGTTTTTCTGATAGTATTGTTGGTTGGCATTTTTTGTCTAGTACTTTGAATATATCATACCATTTTCTCCTGGCCTGCAAGGTTTCTGCTGATAAATCCACTCACAGTCTTATGAAGGTTCCCTTGTATATGACAAGTTGCCTTTCTCTGGCTGCTTTCTAAATTCTCTCTTACTCTACTACTTGTGACAAACTCTAATGTTTGAGATAAACTGTAATGTGTCTTGGTGTAGCCCTCTTTGGGTTTAATATATTTGAGGATCTTAGGGCTTCATATTTATTTCCTTCTGTTGATTTGGGAAGATTTTTGCCATTATTTATTTAAATAGGCTTTCTGCCCCTTTGTTTGATGGTGTTCCATAAGTTTCATAGCCTTTCTTCACTATTTTTCAATCTTTTTTTCTTTTTACTTTTCTAATTGGTTAATTGCAAATGGATTGTCTTTGAGTTCACTTACTCTGTTTGAAGCTCTCTATTTGACATTTTCAGTTCAGGCATTATATTCTTCAGCTCTAGGATTTATATTTGGTTCTTTCTTATTGCTTATATTTCTTTATTAAATTGCTCATTTTGTTCATGTATTGTTTTCCTGATGTTGTTTAGTTTTTTAATCTGTGTTCCCTTGAAGCTCATTTAGCTTTTTTAAAGATAATTATTTTGGATTCTTTTTAAAGAAATTTATGACTCTCTACTTCTTTGGGGTTGGTTACTGGAGTTTTATTAGTTTTTTTTTGGTGGTGTCATGTTTGTCTTACTCTTTGTGATCCATATAGCTTTGTGTTGGTATCTGTGCATTTGAAGCAGCAAAGATCTCTTCCAGTCACTACAGTCTACTCCTGCCAGATCTCTAGACTGATGTTATTGTCTCTGGGATCTCAGTCAAGTGGAGTTGAAGCCAGGTAACATGGCTGCTTAAGGATCCGCAGTTGGGACTGAGTTTGGGGGACCAACCACCAGGGTCATGGAGAGACATGTCTCCTACCAGGTCCCTGGACAGGCAATACTGACTCCAGGCCACGGTAGAGAAGACTGGAGCCAGGTCACCTGGCTACTTCAGTATCCACAGTTGGGCTGAGGTCAGCAGGCGTGTTACTAGGGACACAGATGAGTGTAGCTCCTCCTAGGAAATGGCAGATGGGACTGTTGGCAGGAAGGGAGCTATACGATGCTGAGCTGAGTCCACAGCTCAGCGGCCGCTTTCAGTCCACAGCTGGGACCAAAGTCTATGAGCCTGCCACCAGGATATGGGCCTGACTTCTCAAAGCATCCCTCCTCAGTCAGGGGCTTCTGGGTTTAACCACCTTTCATTTGGATCCTAAATCTCCTACAAAGGCATTTTTGTTTATGGATGACTGACAAATCATTTTTTTCTGTGGGCATCATGAGCTGGAGACCTTCTATTCTTCCATCTTGTTGATGCCACTTGCATTTGTGTGTTTACACGTACCTGTAAGTTCCCGATCTTTAGATATCCATTTGGTGACTCCTGGAAACCATAATTATGTTCTGCAATAATTGCCATGCAAGTTACTTATTAAGAAATAGATGATAGAGAAAAAACTGTGCTCAATTTCTTGGGAAATTTGTAGAAAAAAGAGAGGTCAGCTTTAAATATAAAAACTTTCTGCCATGAAAACATAGCAGATAGAAATGAAATTTTTTGTTCTTTGGGATAATCTGAATTGTCACTCCCCTCCCATAGTAATAATAATTTTGTGTGATGGGGGATGTTATGAAAATTTTTGACATTTGAAAAAGATAATTATCTTGTGGTACTTTTTTGTCTTGTAAAAAAATGGCAGTTTTTTTTGTTGTTTGTTTTTGCTAAAAGAAAATTGTCGACTTCTTCAACTGAAAACTTAGTATTTAACATACATTTCAGTGTATAACTGAAAATTTAGTGTCTTACACCCGTAAGAAATATTTGTGCTAACAAACCTTAGATGATTGAACATTCTCATGGATTTAACTAGAAATACAACTATTTTCCAAGCTATTATGATTTTGATCAGCTGTTATGATTTTGCTCTTTTAGTAGTGTTGTTTATCAGTGTGGAGAATGTTAACATATTGCTATACAATCATGCATAAGGAATTAATGAGCTACTGTTGTCTTTCTTCATAAGCACATCTAATTTGCTCATTCACCCGTTTGCTCAGCGAGGCAGAAGGGAGAGAGCAGACATTCCTAATAATCGTGATTTGTTTTCTTTTTTTCAGCCATGCAATGATGGACCTACTTGTTGATCTTTGCCTTCAAAATCACCTGAATCCATCTCACCATGCCCTTGAGATCCGGTCTTCGGAAACCCAACAGCCTTTGAGTTTTAAGCCAAATACTTTGGTTGGGACACTCAATGTGCATACTGTGTTTCTGAAAGAAAAAGTTCCTGAAGAGAAGGTTAAACCTGGCCCACCTAAAATGCCTGAGGTTCGTAGATGCCTGTGTCTGAGTGTGCAGGAGATACTGAGTAGGAGACAGTGTTGCTCTTCTTAGCTATTAATAAGTACCTCACACAGAGAGTTGTGGTTGAGGTTTCTACGTCTATGCTAGGCCAAGCTAGACACTAACTGAGTTTATTTTAGGAGACAGAATTTAGTAATATTTATTGTTGTAACATTGTTCCTTTATATAATATATTAGAGAATGGAAATTGCTCTAGAGTAGAGCTATCTATTAAAACTTTCTTCAGAGGTGGACAGGGTCTATAATTTTTTACTTTCCAATATGATTGTCACTGACCACATGTAGCTTTTTTGACATTTATCGTAACTTAAATATTTCAATTAATTTTGGATTTTCTTTTCTTTTTCTTTTTTTTTTGGAGACAGGGTCTTACTCCGTTGCCCTGAGTAGAGTGCTGTGGCATCATCCTAGCTCACAGAAACCTCAAACTCTTGGGCTCAAGCAGTCCTCCTGCCTCAGCCTCCCAAGTAGCTGGGACTACAGGCGCACACCACAATGCCCGGCTAATTTTTCTATTTTTTTAGTAGAGGGGGGGTCTTACTCTTGCTCAAGCTGGTCTCAAACTCCTCAGCCCAAGCAATCCTCCTGCCTTGGCCTCCCAGAGAGCTAGGATTATAGGCGTGAGCCACTGTGCCCGGCCGGTTTTTCTTTTCTTCTCTCTCTTTCTCTCTCTCTCTTTTTTTTGAGATGGGGTTTCACTATGTTGTCCTGGCTGGACTTGAGCTCCTGGGCTCAGGTGATCCTCCTGCCTCAGCCTCCTGGCTCGGCTGGAATTATAGTCACATGCCACCATACCTGGCTCTTTTTTTAATCTTTATTTTTAATTGACACGTGGCTTTTGAACACTTGGAATGTGGCTAGTATGATTGAGAAACTGAGATTTTAGTTTTATTCAATTTTAATTAATTTGAATTTAAATAGCTGCAAGAAGCTAGTGGCTACCCTACTGGACAGTGCAGTTACAGAGTTCTTCCTGCCAGAGGAGGCAGTCAGGATCTATAGAGGATTTGGACATCGAGAGAGAGGGGAGAGGATTTTTCCTTTTGAAAAATTGATATCAGAAATATTTACTCATTGCATTTGGAGAATATATTACTGTACACATGGCTTTATTCCAGGCTTTTGATTATTGACTAAAGTTAATTCCAGTAGCTTTTCGTACTTTTTAATAAGGCTTATGTATGGATCTTTAATCTCCAATTAAAAGCAGTGCTGCTACTTTATTCTTTTAGATTCCTAAAGAGCCGATAAATTTTTCTGCTTTTAAGAATGGTAATCTGACCAACTGTCCATCTCCTGTGAATTGCTAGGTTTAGCTGGTTAGTAAATTCTAATCGTTGCCCTTCTATGCAATGTCCAGAGGAGATTTTCCCTTATTCTTCAAGTATAATCAGTGTCCAAGGAAGAGGAACCCTGTGTACACCCTGTGGCTTCTCTTGACTTCCTGGTGCCCAGTGGCAGGTGAGCCCAGGTATATTCATGATTCCACCTGGAGAGGCAGGTAAAGGGACAGTGGCTTCCCTCTTTCCTCCTAAAATGCATCATTATCACGGCCACCGAGCCCTGGCACTCAGGCTGGGAGGGAGCACGCGGCCTTCCTCACTGCTCTTTTGTTCAGTCCACGTTTACTGTGACCAACTGTGCAACATCTTAGCACAATTCAGGTGATCAATAAAGGCTGAATAAAAGTCCGTTGGATGAAACTTCACATGTTAAAGTTTTTGATGGACCACTTTATCTGTGGTCATTTAGAATCACCATTAGTCAAACTGTTTTTCTTTCTGATTATTATGTCTGGTATTTTTTAAAAATAAAATATATTTCTAGCATAAAATATGTTTTGTATAGTGTATATATAAATACATGTAAGTTTGTGTACACACTGTGTGTGCTTTATATATATGTATATATATAAATACATGTAAGTTTGTGTACACACTGTGTGTGCTTTATATATATGTATATATATAGTACATACACAAGTGTATATAGATACATATGTATGTAGATATTCATAGATTTATGTGGCTACTTTAACAGCTTAAACAAACATTTGATATCATTTTTTGAGGGTTTTTCTTTATATTAAATTATCCATACTACTTCCAAGCTATTTTCCTTTAGAAAATATATGTAAGTGCCTTGTGTTCATGTCTGGCCAGAATCCTTGAAAGATGGTATATGTATTGGATTTTAAATTTAGAGCCCTCACTGATGCTCATTTCCCTGTGTTGTTAGCAGCTTGTTCATTAGTAAGAGGGTCTAAGATAAATTTATAGTTCCAGACATTTATTTTCACTATTCAGTATGCCATTTTCCCTCCTGACTCACTAAATTTGTAGAAGAAAGATTCAGGCTACACAAAATCCTGCCACACTTAGTTCTAGAATGAACACAGAAGTTGAAGCCCTCGTGGGAAGATGTGCTTATAGAATTCTCTTTGTCTGCATTCTTCTAGAAATCTGTGCGTTTGGTAGTGAACTACCTGCGGACACAAAAAGCTGTTGTGCGCGTGAGCCCTGATGTACCTCTCCAGAATATTCTCCCCGTCATTTGTGCAAAGTGTGAGGTCGGCCCGGAGCACGTGGTTCTCCTGAGGGACAACATTGCCGGGGAGGAGCTGGAGCTGTCCAAGTCCCTGAGCGAGCTCGGGATAAAGGAACTCTACGCCTGGGACAACAGGAGAGGTGAGGCACACTATGTCTCACACACACTGCCCTGTACACCCTCGCGTGCACACACACACACACGTGGCATGCACAGGTGGCCTGTTAGCTGTCCTCGCAGCTCTTGTTAGCTCTGGGGAGAGATGGGTACATGAATTTCCAGGCAACTCCAATTTTGTCCACACCAGTGTTGACGTAAGCAAAAAAGGAAAGTCGTTTTCATGCCTCTCAATTGTGATTCTGCCTCTTTCTCCAGGTCCTGAGTATGTCCTTCCCTCTTTGTGTCCCTACACACTGTCATGAGATAAGTAAAAGGAAGGAGGGGAAGAAGTAAGGAGAGATTAGAGTTTATGCTCTAAAGTAACTACTCAAAAACCATGTATAATATTCTCTTGACTTTCCTTTTCAGTTGCCGTTAGCTGCTCTAGGTTTTAGACATTGCATGTATCCAGAACCAGGGGCAAAGGGCATTTAGCTGTCCCCTAAAACGCACAACTGCAGTCCGTGAAATCAGTCCCCGAAGACAGCTTCAGCACCACCTTGGGCCTTCTTGCCATTGCTGCCAGGGACAGCTCGCTCCTGGTGTGAATCTGGGCCTTGGCTTGAGGTCACAGAGTCACTGGTGAGCGTGGTGGCCCCAGAGTTGGTACAGAGACTGACATGTTGTGTAAGCAGATTCTTTTGACTGATACCAAGGGCTGACTATATGTTTGAACAACTGTCTGGCAAAAGAAAATTTTATGTTCCTCAAACTTAGAATTATTAAAATGGACTTCATAAATGTTTCTATTCTGATGAGCCCCAGTTGATACCTTGTCTCTGTTTTATTTAATCCACAAATATTGAATAGGTTGGGCTTTAAAAATGTATATATATTCAAGTTTTTCATGTTTTTCTATAGCTTTTTTCCTAACTTCGTCCAATAAAAAACGTATTTTTTTATTACCAAATTTATCATGAATCCATGACCATCGTGGACTCCCTGTGCAGTCTGCCCCTCTCCCCTAGTCAGCCCATTCCCTCCTGGCAATCTGGGCCCTGGATCTGATTTGACATTCAAGAGAGGGCTTAGCTCCATTGATTTTCAGATACATGGACTGTTTGTCCCTTCAAAAAAAGTACTTTGACCTTTGAGAATAATGCGTCTGGTGTTTTATCCAGTATCCTTGTAAGACACAGACAAAAATGCTCTGAGCATCACCGCAGACAACAGGCGGGGTTGCTGTGGGTGTGTCTGTCTGGGTGTATCAGCCCTATTTACATTTGGTTTATGGGACTCTTTGGAAACAGCTTTCATTTGGTGAGACAAAAAAAAAAGAAAGAAAAAGAAAAAAAGCCGCCCCACATTTAGGTATCTGGAAGAAAAAAGCTTACACAAACAAGTGTTTCTGTTACATGCCGACACTTGGATACATCTTGAAAGGTAGATTGAACCTGCTTCCTGGGAGAAGTCGCGTAAAACCTGCATCTCTGTTAAGGAAAGGGCCAGGCAAGCCATGGTCATCTGGAACACAGCAGTGGAGTGTTCAGTGGGGTCAGGGCCAGTGCATCTCTTCTGATCCACACGCAGGACAGAGCCTCCGAACACACCGGTGTGGCCAGCTTGGTCGTTCAAATTTGCGTCCCTTCTGCCCTTGGTGGAAACTAGCTGCTCCCAAGCCCCAGCCCCCTTCTCCACTGCCTTGGGCATCCCAGCCCTCCCCTCCCCAACCCAAGACCTTATGCGTCTTCCTGCTGTGGGGGTCTGCTCCAGCCCCGTGGCCCACACCCTTTCATCTGGACCACATCTGTGTCGTGCCGGGCATGACATGTTTGTTTACATGGCTGCCAGATGCCTTCATCCCATCCTACTCTCCGTCAAACGTTGGAGAAGCAAGGAGGCTCGTCCAGAGGGCATCCCTGAGGACGCTTCCTCTCCTCAGCTGACCTGGGCAGGCCTGCTGGGTGCTGCAGAAGGAGCCCCTTCGTTTTCCCTTTTGGTTTATACTTGCAGGGGAAAGGCGGCCCCTCCTGAGCCCTGCCGCTGCTAGAGAACAGGGAGCAGCTGGCAGGGGAGAGGCATTGCTAGGCAGGGGCCTGCCTTCCTCTGGAATCCCTGGCGGCAGCAGCCTGACAAAGCCAAAGGCTTTGCTGCCACCTATGTCCAGGCTGGCACTTAGCAGGCTGTGCAGCTGTGGCCCTGGCAGGGCAAGGCCAGAGATGCAGGCCTGCCCTGCAGGAGGCCTTCTCGCGTGCCCCAATCCGAGGCTTGTGAGGGGCCGAGGCCGGGATCAGGGGCTCTGCAGATCTCCAGGCTGGTCCTCACGCTCTCATTGCCTGCCTTTTCCAGTTCGTCTGACCAAAACTCAGTCTGAGCCTTCCCTGAGCTGTCAAGGTACCGTGTGTCCAGGGCTTCCCGCTCCCCTGGGAGGCTGCCCTTTGCATGGCTCTGGGCTAGGAGATGCACGGAGCTGACGTTTGTGTGCCAGGCCTGACGGAATGCAGGTGTGGCTTGGGGCACCTCTGGGGGGCTTGCTGGGATGACAGGAGGTTATGGTTTGGTCCTGATCCCTGGTTGGTTGATTCAGAGAATGCTGCTTGTGTGAGAATTTGCTGAGTGGCTCTAATTGGTAAAAAATGAGGGAGACTGTTATGGAAAACAAATTCTATTGCCCAGAATTACACAACAGGCTGAAAGTGGTACATTCAGAAAAGACACCGTTTGCTTTCTACCTCTGTTTGCCTATGTTTGCCTGTACTTACCTGTTCTTACCTGCCTGAGGTCATCCTGCATGCCGCAGAATTTTGGGCAGTATGGATTTTGAAATTTAACTTTTTGTGTCATAGATAAGTATGCAAATGTCTGACTTCTATTTCTTAGAAGTTTTCTCTTTCTCTCTCTCAATATCTCTATATGGGTATATTTATAGATATGTAGAGACACATATGTACATACATACTTATACATACACACATACACATTACATACATCCATATATACACACACGGAAATAGATATATACTTAAAATGTTCATTAAAATTCCTATGAGTCCTTCCCGGTCCTGCCCCCACTGAGTGGTAGAGTAAGGACAGCTCAGGCTACGATCCTGAGTAGGGAACCTCCCAGCCCACTTCACAGACAGGGGAGATCCATCGGCCTGAGGTCCTGCTTGCTGGAAGAGGCCTGGGAGAGGCCACGGAGAGGGGGAGAGTGGAGGGGAGCGAGACCTGCTCCAGAGTGCAGATCTTGGACTGCCCCAGCCCCCAAGCCCAGACTTTGAGCTGAGTGGAGCCATTTCAGCCCCTCCTGGCAGCTCTGCACAGAACCAAAGAGTAGACCTTTGACCCTGCTAACAGCAGTTGTGAAGCCTGAGGGCAGGCTTACCCAACCCAGCCCCACCAAGACTCACTCCCCACCCCCGACTGAGGTGGAGAATAAGGGCATACCTGGAAATCCCAGGGCCCCACCCACCACCCAAGACACAAGAGGGCCTCTCTAGAGGAATAAGAGCTAGCTATAGGACCCAAAAACAGCACTGCAGCTCGCTCCTCCCTGCAAGTGCCACCTACAGACAGGGAGGACACCCTGCACACCCTTTTACTGCATCTACTGATTCATCATAAAGGGTGTGGTCGAATCTCACCCACAAACACCACCTACTGGCTCAGAGACTAAACAGGGCATGTCATTATCCAAACGAAAATCTAAAGGCAAGAAGGAACAACTGATCAAGATGGGAAGGAACCAGCAAAAGAACTCTGGAAGTATGAAGACTCAAACGGAAAGCACACCCCCAAAGAGGACCCACAGCTCCCCAACAATGGACATTAACCAAACTCAGAACACTAAAATGACAGAAGAAGAATTTCAAACATGGATTGCAAGGAAACTGAATGATATCCAAGAAAAAATGGATAACCAACACAAACCACAAAAAAAATCCAGGACTTGGAAGAAAAATTCACTACAGAAATTGAAATATTAAAGAAAAATCAAACTGATCTCGTGGAAATAAAGGACTTATACAGGGAACTACAAAACACTGTGGAAACCCTCAAGAACAGAGTACATCAAACAGAAGAAGGAATCTCAGAGATTGAAGACAACTCCTTCCAATTAAATAAGTCAGTCACAGAAATTGAGCAGAAAATTAAGAGAAAAGAAATAAGCCTACAAGAAATGTGGGATTATGTGAAAAAACCGAACCTAACGGTGATAGGGGTTCCGGAAGGTGAAGAAGAAAACACTCAAGGGCTGGATAAGCTATCTGAAGACTTAATAAAGGAGAATTTTCCAGGCCTTGCTAAAAATCTAGATATACAGGAACAAGAAGTTCAACAGACCCCAGGGAGGTTCAATGCAAATAGGAAGACACCAAGTCACGCAGTCATCAGATTGACCAAAATAGCCACTAAAGAGGCCCTTCTACGAGCTGTAAGGTGAAAGAAACAAGTAACATACAAAGGAAAGCCCATCAGAATAACTCCAGATTTCTCAACTGAAACCCTACAAGCAAGAAGAGACTGGGGCCCCATTCTCACTCTTCTGAAACAGAATAATGCCCCACCTAGAATCCTGTACGCTGAAAAACTAAGTTTCATATATGAAGGAGAAATAAAGACATTCTCAGATAAGCAAAGACTGAGGGAATT